ATTTTACTAAGTATTCAGTAAATTATATTCAAATACAACTGGCATGTTGTAGTTTTGCTTTAGATAGTAACATAGCCATTTTTGCAATCTGGTTTATGAAGTAATTATTTTCGGTATCATCTCACCTGAGATACGCAGCGTCTAAAGTACCCTTTATCATTTCCGAAAACTTATAAATTCCGTGATTCACAGATATAGTTTGTGATGAATGATTTTTGTTTTTCAGGACTTTGGAAGACAGTAAATCGACCTTTTTATAAACTAACTTTTCACGACACTGAGTATTCCTGGTCAGAGGCAAAATCCTTGTGTGGAAGCCGATCAAGTCTTGTTCAACTTGATGTTACCTCTATAAAAAATGACGTTCTTAGCACAATCAGAAGGTGATGATTTATTTAATGTTAACTCTTATCTTCGTTTGCTTTAACAGCGTTAGTAAAGTTTGGCATGATTCCTACCGATCATTCTGAGGTCATTTTGTAGAGTCACTTCCAAATTTATTTTCTCATTATGGCTTTTCAAATGAGTATTCTAGAGCTCTAGTCCGCGAGATGTCGGTAGAGCGCGCTTTCCCAAATATCACTTTGAATGTGCGACCGACCGAATGCCTCAAAATTTGTAGAAAATAACCTTAAAATTAAGTGTTATCGTATCTAGTAGTTGAATATTATTAAATAGTTTTAGTTATATTGTTTTCTTGTGTTGTTTTCTAACAAAACAACAACACATTCATTATTATAGCTGAAATCGTTAACGAGGAAATTTTTGGTTGTAAATAATTCATGGTAATTTTTCAAAGCTCTGACTCAACATTTTTAAATCGATGCTATTTACATTTCGGATAGTTTCTGGAGATGCTAAAGCGTTTTATTGTGTATCTTTACTGAAGACGTTTACAGATAAGACGTTGACGTATGAGATATTAACTCTTGTTGACCATTCAAATTAGAATCCCATATTAATGTACACATAACTAACCTCCCGGCAAAATAGGGAATTTATGAATCAGCTTTCTGTGGTGACTTTGTCAAGTCTATAATATAATAAACAAGAGTGCAATGCTCAAATATATGAAAATTGAGTAGAACGGAAATAAACAAAAGTAATGGCCTTCTAGCGAAAAAATACAATCTTTAACCACTGAAAATTTCAAAGCAATGGATCCAATAGTAATAGTTGGTATTTGTAAAATGCTTGTCTGAAGAAGTCTGACCTCGGCCAAACGAAACGTTACAGAAATATATTTGTGTAAGTGTGCAGCAAGACTCTTGAATTAAATAAAATACCCACTCTTGACTTGCTATAGCATCCTTGAGTTACACGCATGCGGATCAACCTGCGCATAGGCAGAAAATAAAGGAAAGGAAGTTAGTTTCACGTAACCGCAACTGTTAGTTAATTGATCCAGTGGTACGAAAATACTTATTACAACAAGAACAACAACAATATAAATACAAAACGATCCATATGTCCACTAAGTGTCCAATAATTAAAATAATTATGTTGTGTCCAGTAAAATAAATAAGTAAAATTGTTAATGCTTTATTGAAAATGTTTAGTTGTAAGCTTAGCAGATATGGTAATGTACTAGAGAAACCTGAGTAAAGAAATTTTGTTATTTGAATTATTGTCTTCAATCTGTAAACGATATTCTCGTCTAAAATCTTTTGAAATTAATAGAAAATAATGTTATGACAATTTTTTCGTTTGTAATAATGTATACTTTTTATTATAATCGGCGCTTTATTATCAATGGGTTTCAATGACATATATATAATATTGGAATTCAATATGTTGTAGTTCTGGATCCACTTTTCATTGGATTGGAGCAACAGATGAAGCCAACGAAGGACATTGGAAATGGATGTATGGATCTTCAGCATCGATTACTTGGTAAATCCTTTTTATTTCATAAATACTCACTATTACTAATAATTAATATATTGTCAAGCTAATAACCAAATTGCGTAAATCATTTTAGCTGTTTTGTGAAATGCGTGAAAAATTTCCTAATGCTATTGTTACATATGCCATTGAGACTGAATAATTTCCCATGGTTCAATTTTTTAGTCGTAGCCGAATTTACATCAATTTGTATGACGCATGCATGTGACGTCATAATAGCACACTGTGACAAAAATGTGCCTATGACTTATATAATAAGCAACATCAGTCCCGAAAACCTAACATTCAAATAACGTATGGAATTTACAGTATCTACAATGTCTAATCCCAAAACAGCGTATCTGTTTAAGAACATTATTTTTTAATATACCGCTATACGCCATATATTATCAATACAACGCGCTCTGCACACCAACCGAAAATAACTCTCCATAAATAATAAAACTAAAATAGCGATGCATCTCAAATAAAAGACAAACAACATGAATTGGTAAATTGGTAAAATTATTAACTAGAATTCAAATTTATAAGCTAGAATCTACCACACAAAACCTCAAAAATTCCTCCACCGATTTTATTTTGACTTTGTGACCATAACTATACCAATGGCAATAATGTGCATGTAACCTAAATTTCGATTTTTATGCGTTTCGGAATCTTTGGTATAAAATCTGAGTCGACTGATAGGTGAGCACATCCCTCGGTCATAGTTAGAAAGCACATATTTGTAAATGGTATTCCCGCAAGAATATTAATTTTTGCTAAAGTTCTATTCAAAAATGAATATAAATAATACTTCACTTTGTCATTGCACGTTTTGATACTTTGTAGGAATTCAGGAGAGCCAAATGGGGGAAGGACTGAAAATTATCTCGTCATTGACAAGAACGGAAAATGTTATGATTATGGATCAAACGACAAAAAAAGAGTTATATGCATGAAAGGTCAGAAAACCAATAATATATATATATATATAAAAGTTTTAACAATCACTTTCGTTTCACTCTTGTTTAGTTTGCAAATAAACCCGGAATATTCTCAATAATTTCATTGAAGTATTCATCCCATCAAGAATTTCTTTTTTCCCTAGTCAATGGTCAATTGATTTCATATTCTTATTATTTTTACCAAAATACTTAATTTAAAAAAGTCTAACATCTAGACATAAGAGCAATATTTGAATGAAACTCTTTAAATATTTAGGTCTCCAAGAACTTATTGCCAAATGCAACTCCACAACTTATGAATGGTTTATAATTAATATTATGTTGCTCGCCATTCCCATTAACTTCATTGTATGTTTTTTTGTTTTTAGAATATAATGCTTATAGTTATAATTGTGTTTAAATAATTACATGATCTTTTATATAATACATTATTAAATATTCATTATACGCCTATAAATTTTTGATAAACCAAACCAAATAATTTTAAAACCAAAAGATTTGGCTTATTTTTGCGTGAATTTAATTTGACACAGTTGTTATCGAAGTGTAAAATAAACCTACGCGTTTGAAAAAATTAATGAGTCTAAAGCTCAACTTTATAGAACGTTTTGTTTTTTCATAAACCAAAACATGGACAAAATAATATACATTTGCACAAAATAATTAGCCTAAACTCTATAGAACGTGTTGTGTTTTTTATAAAACAAAACATAAACCAACAACCATTCTTGCTCACATTTTTATACTGTTTCGAATTAGCGATTCCCTTTACAATTTCTTCGGGAATATACAGACTGAATGCAATTGGAAGCCCTCACCCTAAAGTTACTTATGAAACAGCTCGTACAGAATGCGCAAAAATTCAATCTCGAATTTTGAAATTGACATCGGCCACAAAAGCTCTGTTAAAGAACCATTTGAATTCCAAGTTAGTAAATATCGAAAGTGAATATTGGGATATATGAAACAGAACATATTTAATTTTGTAAATTTTTGATTTTTAGTCATTTCAGACCTGATGATAAACTCTGGTTAGAAAACACAGGTTCTACTTGCTCTTCATTTACATTGAGTGATTACACATCAAGAACCACACATTGTACGGACAAGCATTACTACATTTGCGAACAAGGTACAATAAAACGAACGTTTTTTCAAGTTCATATTTTGAATAAAAACTTTTTACTCTTAAATGTTCTAATCCATGGGTCCCCAAACTACGGCTCGCGGCGTCCTTTCATCTGGCCCGCAATAACATAAACAAAGTTTTTTCCGAATTTTTTTTCCAATAGATGTTTCCAGAGTATCGACTTCCTTGTTTAGTTCGTAACATTGTCCAATTAGCAAGATGCAAAAGCGACGTAACAATAAACCTTCTTGCATCCACTCAGACAGATTTCCAGTCATAGTTATAAAGAATAACTCTTTTTTTTGGCGATTTTGAAAGGAATTCGTTAGTTTTTTATTGTTTTTTGGAAACTTAAGTATTAATCAAATAAGTCAATCATTATTTTGCTTCTTGGTAGTTGTAATGTAATTGCAGTAATCTAAAATTTTTTTAGGAATAGCTAAATATATAATAGGCTAAAATTATCTATCGGTACGTAACATTTTCTGCGAAAGATGCACTATTGACGCGTGCTTCCCGCGAAACTGTTATTATGTACGTTTCTTGCGCTAAAATGAACGTCGAACGTGCATTTTGCGCTGATAGGACTGTCATCTCTCGTGTACAAGTCATATTAACTTTTGTACTGCTAACATGCGACTATGCAGCAATGTTGATATTCAAGTCATTATGAAATGTAGATATTATATTGTTGAATAAATAGAATTGATTTTCCAACTTTTGAGAATCTATTGTATTGCATTAACAAAAATATTTTCCGGCTCGTTTCAACACAACTTGAGTCATACCTGGCCCACGGTCAAAAAAGTTTGGTGAACCCTGCTCTAATCCAATGGAGCTTGTTTTCTGAAAACGATATAAATTCAATAAATATATTCAAATATACAAAAAAAATTATTTCGTAAACTTCTTCTTATTTCGTAAACTACTGTATGAAACACTAAATCTCAGTTCATCCTAATATGTATACGTAATTCTTGAAAATTTCCAGCTGGACCACATGATATGCTATTATCAATAACTAACTTCATTGTGGATTCATATAATGGCACGAAAGAAATAACGTGCATGGCATCTGGGTTTCCACCACCGACTGTTAAATGGATGAGAGGAAAAACTGCACTTCATTCAACATCAAACAATAACCAAGATAAAGTTGGACAAAATTTAGTTTTAAATCTAAAACAATTGACAATTGCAAACGAAGGACAATACAAATGTTTTGCATCAAATACAGTTGAACAAACTTTTTACGAGTTTTCACGAACCCTTAATGTAAAAGGTGAGAGGCCGTACACTTATATAAATAAAACTTAATAATAAAACAAATAAATTGCTTTTTTGGAGTAGGATAGACATCGACACAGTTCATTTGTTATTACTCGAATATTCGACTTAGTTAATATAACATGTGAGGATAGAAAATATGATGTGCATGTATAAATATATATGTTGTGGATGTATAAATATATAGATAATATTTTATAATAAGCAAATAATTTTGCTTTATTGGGCATAAGGAACCATTTATTTTTTCGTTATTTTCAACTACTCTTTTATAATGAAATCTGCAATGCTATTATGTGTTAAAAGATATATAAACATGTAACAGTTCTGGTAAACACAGGTTTAAACATATTTTTAGTTCCAAGTCAACCATCAGTTACAAACATTACATCGTCATCTTGCAATTCCAATTTATTGATCGCTTGGAGGCCACATGTACGTGGAGTTGGAATACAACACAGGTATCTAGCGCAAAAATACGACCAGGTGTTCCATTCCAGAAATAAACACATCTCACGTAAACTCACGATTAAATATGGAAGCAACTGAAACTGAATACAGTTTGGATTAGGCTGATATGTTGAATGCTAAATTTTCGGTATATTTTTGAAAAATTTAATTTAAAATTATTACTAACAATAAAATATCATAATACCAAACAAAAACATTTAGCATTATTAGATACTAATACATTATTCAAAATACTGAATTTAGCTAATCATTTGTCTATTTGTTGTCAGTTTGTTTTAAATCATCTTTGATTATTGGATCTCCGCTCTAGGGGCCTTATGGTTGAAATTCGCAATAGGCTTTTGGTGTTAATCTAATATTGGTATCGGCGAAGATCCTGGGAGCCTGCCGGCTTTTTTATAAACAATCAAATACCGTTAAATCATAGATTTGAGATAATGGATCCTATCAACAGCAACAATTATAAAATTTACTCGATGACGCCGAATAATTTCTCCATGACGTCCAACGTGACAGGTCTGCAACCTTCGACATCTTATATAATTAAGGTATTTTAGTATATAGGATTCATAAATTTTAAATGGACTAAAATCTCTCTGTTTAAACGACTATGGTCGTATGAAAAATTACCAATTTCGAGTTACCTGAACATAATCTTTCTTAGATTGAGCCATGCTTAACAACTACGTCAACTTGCCTCAGCAAATATGCCACAAGCAGAAATGCAACCACTGGAGGTCTACCCGGTCCTGTTACAAACCCAAGTCTGAAGATGACTTACTATGGCTCCTGCAATATATCTTGGTCTACGGTAATGAACCCGGAATATATATCCGGTTTCAAGGTTTGTATACTGTCTACTGACGGTGTGAATGAGTTTGTGCGCATTTGAGAATGAGCGCATTTAACAAGACGACCTTTTATCACTTTGTGTTTAATTAAACGTAGAGACTATCATGTGACATAAAATCGTCATTTGTTTTAGAATTTCAAGTGGTTCAAGTTGATTTAGTTTAATTGTTTCAGCATATACAACTCTTTGAAACTGAACTCCATCTCTTCAAGCCCCAAGGTCAAATTCGAAAAAACCCACCTATACCTGCAATAATCCCCTAAATATGCTATGTTTTCAATTCGAACTCAAACGTCAACTACTGACCCTATAAACACGCATTCGGTAGCGTCTGAAAGAGGTAAACGAGTCCTATATTGCACTCCCTTTCATTTTTACCACATTCCAACCGACTCGCCGAATATGTAGGTCAAACTAATCGATGTTTTCACTCTTAGTAAATATTGGCGAAAATTGATCAAAATCGAGTGACCTTGAAAACGAAATACTCACAAAAAAACTATAAACGCCACGACCACCAAAGTTGGAGGCCAGAAACTACAAGCTATTGCGAATCTAGGAAAATTATCCCTTCCTGTCTAACCCATAAATTACTATTCATAAAGAGCATATGAAAATACACAAAAAATGAATTTTTTTTGTGGTCTCGGATGAAAAACAACAACTCAAACGAAAGAAAAGAACCAAACAGTGATAACAAATGATGAAAGAAATGAATCAAACAGTGATGATATATATATACAATGCATAAAATATAACAAGGATGATTTTAGAAAAAAGTGATATCCATCAAAACAGTGTATACAAAAAGACTAAAAAAAACAGTGTGGGAATAATCGCATCGAAAAATGTTTATATACAATGAGTGAAGAATAAATGAAAAAGAATGAATAAAAACACTGATACCCTGGCAATATAACATGACCAATATAACGTGACCATCTTCTTTTTACTGGTCTGCCTCTCCTTGAACGAGTCGTGCTTGTGGACGCAGACGAGGTACTTGGCATATCTGAACTGCCAGAACTGGAGAATTGCCTTATAAATATTGGAGTTGTTGATTCATCAGAAGAGGACGAAATGTCTTCCAACTCCCACTCATCTCCAGAGCTGTAAAGGAACAATTCTAATCAATCATACTGCACATCTGCTGACTTATATTTGAATATAGATACCAAGAACAGATTTATATGATATATAGGGCCAATATCTTCATTATAAGTGACTGCTTGCAATTTTAATCAGTCGACTTTCCTCTCCCCCCAGGATAAAAAAGTAAATCCTATTCCTATTCTAATATTGTAATTTACAGTGTCAACAGCAGAATGAATATAAACTAAGCCTTCTGTCAAGACTGTTGAAAAAAAACTAACAGGAAGTATATCAAAGTCACTTACCTCTCACCAAAATCACTTTCCACTTCGATTCCAGTAGATAATTCCATATTAAATTTCAAAAGACAATGCCGCTACGCTAACAGTTATCAAGCCAACATTCATAAAAGAGGTCGTCTTTGTTTACAAGCAGTATTTACAAGCAAAACGGCGTGTTCCCAGCGCCTAAATCGACCATATCACAAACAAATCACCATAGAAAATCGTTATTTTTCAAAATCATTGGGAGCACTAACATATCACGTGATGGCTTGATGCCTTTTTCTCGTTATCATAGCGTTGTAGACGAGACGGTCTTTGTTTACAAGCTGTATTTACAAGCAAAACGGCGTGTTCCCAGCGCCTAAATCGACTATATCACGAACAAATCACCATAGAAAATCGTCATTTTTCAAAAACTTTGGGAGCACTAAACAATCACATGATGGCCTGATGCCTTTTTCTCGTTATCATGCGTTGTAGAGACGTAACGTCAGAATCGATTGATACCAAAACCAGGTCACACAGAAGCGTTGAACCGAAACAGTGAACCCGGAAAGCGGAAGGGATATATCGCCGGCTGGTTCGTTACCACGGCCACTAGGAGGCGATAATTCGCTGGCCGGGGCTTGAAGAGTTAAGACATGTTTGAGGCCGAAAAAAAGACAATGATTATCTGTGAATTGTAAAAACAATTATACCAAAAAACCAATCATTTCATTTCATTACAATGTCTCTAGCTCGTTATAAGATCAACAAAAGCCAAAGTGTCGTCATACAATAAAGCTGATTTCAATATAAATGAAATATTTCTGCCATCTGAGAAAACCTCATATGTTCTCCCGAAGATTTTCAATAGAAAATACAATATCTCTATTCAAGCAAAAACATGTGCAGGGTTTGGACCATGGTCAGAGGCGGTGGGAGAATGTGTTACCGATACTAATGGTAATTCCGATTTTTCCTTGGTTACTCTACAATTTCGTTTTAGGTCTTTGTAATTTATTATAACAATGAAACATAATTATTACCGAATACCACTCTTGTCTTCGACTTATTATGTCATTGGCCTATGTTTTTGAGCTATTTGACGGACTGCTCAACACTTTTATTCTATTGTTACAATGGTGAATTAGGTCCCATTCTATAAAAATGATATAAAAGTTCAGAGTACAGCTATAAAAAATACCGCAATCAAGTTGCGCGGAATATTTTACTTATTCAATCGCATAATGCAAATGCGTACTTGATTATAACAAAAAAAGTGCGTTAGTGCATAAAAATGAAAAAAAGTATTATTTTTACTGTTGTTTGTAATTTACAGCACCATCCAACATTCAGGCACCAACAACTAGAGATAAAATAACTAATTCTGGAATAATGGAACTTTCAATTAAAGGTCCAGATGAAACAAATGGTCCTATAAGGTGATTCAGTTATATACTTGATGTTTCTCGGCAGAGTAAAAGTTGTTTATTGGTCCGAATAGAGATGCAAATTGACGCTTACAGTAAGTCAAATATAATGTTAGGCGATTCCTTCTAAGTTTGCCTATGGGTGAATTATGAAATCATGATTTGAAATATCAGTTATGTGATCTGGGTGACCCAAATCAATAGTATATTAACCATCAGACAAAATATATTTGAAAGAAAAAATTAAGCAAAAATAGTACTTCTCCCTTGTAGTACGTTGTAAAGATAGTAATAACTATCCATAAATGCTACTTTTTTCATCACTATTATGATAGTTGTTACTTTATCATCGTACAAGTCAACAAAACAAGCAACACTTTGCCTGATTTAAACTATCCGCATATGAATAAACTGAATAATTCAGAAATTGAAGATGAATATATTGCGATAGCTTTGAACAGAACCAGGTATGATCAACGTATGGACGTTTTCATCAGAATAGCATATTTTAATCGGATTATGGAAAATTGTTTTGTGGGATGTTGCCAAAACATATATTCTTCCTGATTTGCAGTTTCGTATTTGTGTCAGTTCAGTGTATGTAGGCGTAACATAACAATTACACATAATGCCAGTTTGATATTAAGCAAAACTATAAACACATTCCTTCTTGTGAGTTTGTTTTGTATACAATTTAATCAAATATTTGTGAGTAAATAAATTTGTTAATAATTACAGTTATTTAAACCCAACTATCAAAAATAATTTTTTAGTAAACAGAATCATATATATATACATCTGTACATATATATACAACATGTTTTCATTTTGAAGCATTGGGCAAAACCGTTCGAAAATAAGTCTTATTCTTGGAAATCGAGTAAAAACAAGGTGTGACGTAGACGGAAAAAACAACACTGGTAATTCAAAAAATACGTATGCTGCATATAACAAGAGATTGTCACTCTCTGAAACTTACAGGTACGATAATAACGTTTTCGTATCTCGAATATTACACTTGATTGCTTTCGTACGGGTTTTCGTGTCCCACATGCCCTGTTCCTCCCTCGTTCCACTAAATACATCAAAAACAAAAGGAACATGTTGAGTACACCATTTTGCAAGAATGTGGTTTTATTTAATGTATTAAGCTAAGGTAATAAATAGATAAGTATTCTAGATGAACGGATATTTATCAGCATATCAGCTGCAGATAAAAAATATTCGAGCCTGTTTTATAGATATATATATAAGTACTTTTATAAGTAATAACTACATGCCATCGTTGTATTTTGCAGAATATTTCTTGTAACCTCTACCCCAACTAAGGAAGGTGTTTCATTTCGTGCTAGTGACGCACTCGTTATTGGGAAACCGTTTGCAGGTGATTAAAAATAAACAAAAATTACCTTTCCAACATTTTTATACGAAATGAAAAAAAACTAAATACTATAATATATTAAATAATTATATATATAATATTATATTTTAGATGAGTGGAACACTTTTCTTGTTATTGGTTTGGCCGTGGTGATTTTCATATTGCTAGCAATTGGAATCTTTTTCACAGTCAGGTATTTAGACTCTTAACAATAACTTAAAATTTTGAAAAATGAACTTGTTAAATAAGATTAGAACAATAATCGGAGCTCCAGCAGTATAAGCACCAGAATAATTTTATAAGTGTACCTTGTAAACGTGGAAGTTGATTAAATTAACAAGTTAAATGCTTTGTATAATAAATAATAATGATGTATAATTTGATACGAAGCAGAGAACAGCTGGTTTCAAGTATGGCTGAAATAAAGTGGGTCATTTGACTCGAATAAAATTTTTGATCGTCACCCAAAACTAAGTCTCTTTCTCTGGTGTAACCTAAATCAATTTTTACTTGTAATAGACGAAGAACAAAATCTAACAAGAAAATTGATCAAGTAGTTCAATATCGGAACAATGAACCAGCAGGTAATGACAATCACGTTTATGAATTTTTGATTATCAAAAGTTTTAGGTATATATCCGAAACGTATTAGTAGGAAGTAACCGAGTATATGCTACAATGTATAGACAAAAAATACTTATATAAATTGTACTGTTTTACTGCATTTTTAACGAGTATTTTTATTGAGCAGTTGAAGAAGAAGAAATACCAAGCACAAATGTTGCATTTAGTTATTTTGAAGATTACTACAGGAATCTATTTCATAATGAGAAAGCATTGTTTCACGAACAGTTCAAGGTAATCTGGACCAAGTTGGGAAAATTGTCGATTTATTTGCACAAAAGAATATTAAAATTTACTTTGCTAAATCATGAAATACCTGATACTACGCATATGATATGAAAAAAATGGTACGTACATAGAAGTTTTAGATTTGTATCGTCCTAATTTGTATATGACTTCTTTCTTTCAGAGAATAAAGATCGAATCAAAAGCAAATATGAAAAGTACAACGTTCGCATCTGCGCCTGAATTAAAAAGGAAGAATAGATATAAAAACATATTACCATGTTAGTGACAAACGTAATACCGTTGCTTTCATTTTTAAATGCGACATGTGTATACTTTCTGGTCTGTCATTACATACCCAATGCTCGCTTTGAGCGAGATGAAGGGCGTGAAACTTGAACTCTGGGTTTCACCTGCGATGCCATCATAGATTCAGCCACTCAGCTGCCGCGCCATACACTGTTTCTATGACTATATTTAAACAGTCATTCAAAAATAAAAATAAAATAAAAAATAACATTGCCAAGGAAAAAAAAAAACGGAATATTTTTACTCAACTTTTGTTGTCTTTCTTATAGATGATGAAACTCGTGTTTGGGTCAAAGCTAATGACACTGGATACATTAATGCATGTTACGTTAATGTAAGTGGTGTTTGCATTAAAACTATGATTTAAAATAGATAATTCACACCCACAAATATTAAGCTAGTTTTTGGGTTGCTTCTGCATTTTGACCTTGGATTTTATGTGTGTGATATATAAAGTCAAGTATTAAACTTCAAGGTATATAATAGACTTTTGGTGCTTCTGAAGTATGCTCACCAAGACGTCGCACAACCTGAACCCTAACCTGGTACACAACCTGCGATCAGGTTATGCGCCATCTTGATGCGCATACTTCAGGAGGTCCACAATTTTTTACTTCACAACGCTATCTGTATGTATGTATGTATAAAACTGAAAGATATACAGGATATTTCGCCCGATTTTATAGTAATAACAATTTGAAAAAATTTTGTCTTCGTTTATCAATAGTTCTTATTGTGCTTGTAGTTCTCATTTATCATACAATATATTTAAACTTACAATTATATTACAATAAAATCGAGCAAAATTGATTGGTATTACAATGAAATCAATCGAAAATTGTTGGTCGAACTATATATATTTATATATATATATAATACAATACTTTACTTTCTGCTAACCATTCATGTTTTTGACATCAACAGGGTTATGCTAAATCACGTAAATACATCGCAACTCAAGGTCCTTTACCAACAACTGTTGATGATTTTTGGTTGATGGTCGTTGAGCAGGAATGTAAAGTCATTGTTATGCTGGCAAAATGTTTTGAAGCAGGAAAAGTAAGCAAAATCGTTAGCAATACAGAAATTTATAAGAAGATAATATTAATATATATACATGTATAAGGACGCGAATGACGTATACATAGTGAATAAACTAACAGCTGCAAAAGGTTATCTATTGTTTAATTTAATTAGGGCTGCTTTTTATTCTGTATTTGTAGAAAAAATGTCAAAAATACTGGCCAGATTATGGAATTACTTCTAGTTTCGGAGTAGTTAAGATTTTCAACTCGGAAGAAGTAAAGTATTCCGGCTTTATACGAAGAAGATTTCAAGTAGAAACAAATGATGGGGTTGGTATAGCTTTGTTTCATAAGCAGGCAAAGAGTTTATTAAGTCCTTCTAGTTGGTAAAAGTCTAATTTTCATTTAAATATGCAATGGCATTCAAACAACTCTTTTTCAGAATATAGCAATGGAAGTATTGCAATACCAATATGTTAACTGGCCCGACCATGATATACCATTCACAACATCGAATCTTGTTAGAATGCATAAAGTTGTGATTCAATGTTTAGAAGAATTTGGGGATGATACGCCAATGATTGTGCATTGCAGGTAACTGCTATATTTTCTTCTGCGAAACTAAAAAGGATCTCAGATATTTAACGCCGTACAATGATGAAGATTGAAAGATGAAACGAACTAGCATATATTCATAAAATTTGAATAAAATTAATCTTCAATTTAGTGCTGGTGCTGGTAGGACGGGAACATTTATAGGATACGACTATTTGCTCGAAGAAGGAAGAGATACAGGAAATGTTGATGTATTACAATGCGTATTGAAGATGAGATCCCAACGTGTCGACATGATACAAAATTGCGTCAGTGCTTTATTCTATCTTTTTTGATAATTGATTTTTGAGAGTTCTGGTAACATAGAAATTAATAAGAAAAATAGCAGATTGCCTATTTCGACTGTCAGTTAGTTTGAGTAGAAGATAATGCTGCCAATGGAAAGGGATTTTTTAAAACTTCAACAATCGTTTCGTCTTTAGGATCAATACATACTTCTACACAAGTTGATTCTGGAAAACTACCTGTTTAAAAATACTGATTATAATGCACAGAATATTGGGCACAAATTTCAAGAAATAACAAGGTAAGATTAACCATGAAGTAGAGCTAGTATTGCATTTGAAACAAGAGAGCAGTGCTCACATATACGGTCTCGAATTAGTACGGTTATGCAATTTGTTATGATAGATCACCGTAGTACCGTAGACTTCATCTGACAACCAGATAGCGGCAAAAAATGTGCAATTTTTAATTTCGATGACGTCATCGCACATAAAAACGAATTCTATACTATACAGCCAAAGGAACGTTTTGAAATAAATAAAGTAATAGTTTTTGAGCGAAATACACAATCTTCATCTAATCGAAAAGATCCATTATTTAATTAGGACAGAGATTTTTTCATAGCAACAAGAATACAAAATGACAAAATGGTTCATCGGTCCACGTTGTGTCCAAAACAAAGTAAAACTAGTATTTCTGATAATAAAATATATTTGCTGTAATTTGGGTTAGGGAAGTAAAATGTAATTTTTCATATTCAATTTAGCCATGAAAAACGAAGAGAGTTGCGTGATGAATTTGAGAAATTGTCATTATTAGAACCTTTGAAATCTTCTAAACTGATGGGAAGACGTTATGAAAATAGGAGATACAATATATCAGACAATGTGATTCCTTGTAAGTCGAACTATATATGATAATAAGTTCTATTATTGCGTCTTCGTATATATTTCCACTTTCTTTGTTTTCATCAGACGATCATAATGCAGTTGTTTTGATAATGTGCAATAATGAAGCAAGTGTGCCATATGTAAATGCATCGTGGATAGAGGTAAGACAAATAAGTAATTGCTGTTGAAATATTTTTGGACATCACAGATCTTTATTAGCATTGATTTTGGTATGTAGCCAACATGTTTAAAGTAGTTATCAAATGTTAACTTTTATCAAAAAATCGCATCTTGATATAATGCATATTTATCGCAGACTTACGATGAAAGCACAAGTATGATTGCAGCACAAGCACCGATGAGCGAAGGAATTCCATTCTTTTGGAGATCTGTATTAGATAACAGAGTTAATACTATTATCATGCTTGCTTGTGTTGAGGTAAGTTTCCATAAATGCCAAATTTTTTTTTTAGTCAACTTGGTTTGGTTGAAATTAGTATAGGTTGTTTTCGAATCGACTATCCAATAAAACAGTAATAAGTATACCGCTCCAGTAATTATAAACCGCTTCCGAAGCGAACTGTATTGAAGAGTATTTCAGCAATATTGTTGCTCATTGTTATTTCCCGTTACCAAAACCTTTGATCAGCGATTCACGATTATTTTGCTTTTTACTTAGCCTAATATTTAATTATCACAACCTCGGAGATAATATTTTACCATAGTTATATACCATATTCACAAAGTCAAGCATGCGAATTCAAATATTTATGAAGTGAAAACTGCAAGTCTCCAAAACATACACTCGCATATGCAATTTTCTAATCCCAAAGATGATGTACTACTTTCTTGCACAGGAGTGCATTCAGTATTGGCCACATGATGTTTGCGCTACGTTGAGCATGGAAAACGTTTCTGTTACTTTGATGGAAGAAAATATAAATGGATCAATATCTCGTAGAATTTTTAAAGTGTTCAGAGGAAGCCAACAGGTTAAACTACATAAAAATTATATCCTATGTTTTTTTTACTATAAAACGATACTGATAACTATTTATGATGAAAATTAAAATTCGATATTATAAAACTTGCCAATATATGCTTCGGGGTTATAATTTTTTAAATCTTTGTTGGAGTATGAAGGTCACAAAGCTACCAATATCTAAGAGTTACAAGTTTTAAATTTAGACTCATATTACTCAAATACAATATTCTGGCTGGAGCAATGAACAATGCCCAGAAGATGGAAGCATTGTATTGGATATTATTGGGGAGATGCAGAGAAATGCAAGAAGTGTGCAGGGATCAGCTTGTCTTATTCACTGCACGTAAGTTATTAATGATAAATTCCCAAATTTGTCAACTATCGAATGATAAGAATGAATTCAAAACAGACATTCATTATAGCGACGGAGCTGGACGCACTGGAGCATTTTGCACAATTGCAAATTTGATAGAAAGATTGAAACACGAAAATAAAGTTGATGTTTTCCGAGCAGTAAAAGATTTGCGTGATTGTAGACAAGGAATGGTTCAGACTTTGGTAAATGCTTCTACATGATATTTCTAGATGGATTCAAAAAAATTTTATAGGAAAATCTTAATATACAACTGTGTTGGAACTTTTACTTGATTCAATGCAGAAACTCAAACATATATACAACCATATTTCTGGTAATAATTCAGTCTTTTTAAGCAACTAGATTCCGATTTTTTACGGCTTGTTGTTATTCACTTCAATATGCACACCTATAAGACTAATATTTCTCTTCTCTGTGTATTCAGTTACTTTTAAGTATTGTTGTTACGAAAACTGAATAATGGAATATATATATTATGATTGCAGGAACAATACAAATTTTGTCATACTGCAATCTGCAACTACATGAAGTCGTTTGAGATCTATTCCAACTTCGAAAATAAATGACTGAATGATGTATATATGTATAAGCTGTATAATTATTCTACTATTTAACACACTCTTGTATCTTATTTCATCATGAGACTTCAGAGCCGTGAGCGCCAAAGCCTGAAAATGACAAATAACCTGATTAAAATTGAAATAAATCAAAATATGAAATGAAGTTTGCATCCGCCTACTACTACTAATTTATAGGTGGTGCGCTACTTACGGCCGCATTTAAAACACCAAATCAAATACGTTTTACTAGTCTGAATCTATACTGTTGTCTCACGCCAATCACCACGTTTTTCTTCAATATATAGCTTTTACTATTATTACAGGGTGGTAAAAAAAATATCGCAAAATTAACAGAAGTTAAGATGAGAAGCTACCTAAAACATTTAACGAATGAAACCTTCTGACAGTACTAAATTACGGTGGAATGGCATTTAAACATTTCACGACTGACGAGTTTTAACAGTTACTTCTTTAACGTTGCCTTGACGAAAAATTTGACCTTTTCAACACCCTGTATATAAACATATTTATATTAAAAATCATTCGCCAATCGTCATTACAGTCAATAATGTCAAATGTGTTTGTATGTTTATTTATTTGGGCATTGGTTATTGAAAAATAAAGATATTATCAAGATCTTCAATTTGGTTCGATTGGATACCAGGCTTTTGAGTATTTTCTGAAACTTATTTGCCGATACTTATTGAAATAACGCCACTGTTCAAACCTAATCAAGCAACGGTTTATTTTTAAATGGTTTGAGATATCATTAGTAAAACTACATTCACTTTGAGTTTTCCTTGAATTAATTATTGAATCTCAACCACTGATTTGCAATGGGTTTTACTGATAAGTTCGGCAACTTGTTATACATATACAGCTTGTTTACTCCATATGCATATATTTGTGGCGACTCCACATTGATGATTATTGTGGATGTGAATAATTTTAGACATTTACTGGCTGATAGCGCATGCTATTTGCGCAAAACAACGTCGTGACCTGATTCATTTTCTATGTGATTTACGGTGTCAGACTTTTAATGCAATAGCTTTATGCCATGTGATACGACGTTTTCAGTCCACGTTTTGGGTTCCGTATTGTTTCTCGTATTTATCATTTGGTATTTATCACGTTCGATCATTCGATTGTTTATTTCCACAATATATGTGCATCTAAAACAGAAGTATTGCGTGTTTCATGACCTCTGATGGCTGGGGTATTCCGCAAAGTTCAATCCGAAATGATCAGACCTATTCATTGCATTGATTGAAATGACTTGCAGTGGTTCCCAAACTGTGGGTCGCGACCCTGTACGAGGTCGCGTGAAGACTCAACCATTTATTGTACAAACGGTGCAAAAATTGTTTCGTATGGCTTTCAATCGGTACTTAACCTTTTGAGCTGGTCGGCAGGTACCGATATTAATAAATGTAATTATGTGACAGTGTTGCGAGCGCCAATAATTTTCCTTTTTATAGCTTTTTTGAACACGATACATCCGAGTACTTGACCCGCTGGTACGCAAATCGATTTTTTTGCCAGGCTGCGAGAAATTATGTTAGTTTGGTATTTTGCCTCAATGTAGCCGCTTGGTTATCGAATATACAAAGCAAATCTAAGTGATTCAAGAGTTGAATCACTCAGGATAGGTATCTCTACTCTTGCTACAACATCCTTGCAATTTATGCATACGGATCCGCCGGCACAAAAAACATAGAAGAAGTATAAGTAGTTAGTCTTACAGAAACCAAATCATTAATACATGAAAAAGTTGCTTTATCTTGCGATTGGCCGTTAATTAGGTGTTTGACAAGTTTGGTATTAATTACCAGGCTGTGTCTTGGCCGAGTCATTACACTTTACTATACTACTGTGGACTTTCTATGGACCACTGTATAGGTCTATAATTTATATAGTATAGTAGAATTGTTACTGTAGCTGTAACAGATTTCCAAGCGAAATAGCGCATAGTAGTCTACCTTGTGCTCCTTTATCTTTCAATTTCCTAAGCGATGCATCACTGTACATGACTAATTTCAACGTTTTAGAATCAAAATTTAATATGAGTTTGATATCAACTTCAACTGTCGAATCAGCTTGTTGACTTACAGAATATCACTAACAATGGTTATCTTCAACCTGGATGCAATAGAGCAGTGGTTCTCAAACTTTAGGTGCCTCCGGACGCCCTATGCTTCTTTAAAGTATCTGCGGACCCCCAAATATTCAAACCGAAAACCATAGAAGAACATAGCATAGAAGAGCTATCCAGACGACATTTAAATTAGCTGCTACTCCTCACGTACGAATCACAAATAGATAGCTTTATTTATTTCATGTGATCTTGCACATCGAGTTTGTTCCCTCCTTGGGTAGTACCTGAGTGCCAATGTCATATTAGCAAAACTAGCTAGAAAATCCTGATACACAATGTTATAAAAACGTTTCTCGTACTGAATTTGTTGAAAGTCGATGCGACAATAAATTTGAATAGCAGTTTTCAATTTATGTGTTTTGACTCAACATTTCTGCAAGAAACCCTAAATATGCCGTAAGATCAATAACAAAAAGAAACAATTTTTTGTGCTCGCAACTACAGTAGAAACTCTACCTACAAAGGGGCTCTTAGAAAAAATTAATTTCGTAGGTAGAGTTTCTACTGTAGTTGCGAGTTCCCATGTTATGTTCCAATGATAAATTCCGTAAGTGGGGACGCATTTCACCTGTAAAAGCCCCAAAAAATATTCGTATAAATTATAATAATGGTTAAAACCCGTAACATATACATGTTGGAATTAGATTTCGGCATAATAACTAGAAAGGATACAAATATATACCGAATACCGAATCAAAACTACGAACGTTATGTCCCCCAAGAGCGTATATCATCGTCTATTCACTGAATTTTGCTATAGCAACTCATTGTGTGTACCCACTGGAAACAAACTGACCAAGGGGTGACAAATAATTTATTGCTGCGCCTCACACGACTACCTTCAAATACGATAAAAAAATGAAATAATTGTAAATGTTTTAAATCAGTACGTGGACGGCGACGATAGGATACGTGCACTGCATTCGGTATTTCTATAAACACGAAAATCAAAATGGACATCCCTGTTTCAAGCACCGCATTAAATTCATATAAAATAAACAAATATCACTACACGCATTTGGAATCTTTCATAGCCTTTTGTAGGTGAAGTATCTAAGTGCGCCAACAGCTTCACCCAGTTACTTGTATTTGGTCCTTCTGTAATAAAAGGTTACACACCCCAGCTTTACAATATCAGTAGTCTGGCGAAATTGCTCACGGAACTACGGCACAGAGACGTCATCACAGAGAAATTTAAAGTGAAAAACAAATTTCATAGAGCAATCAACAACAAACCCTTACCACTGAAAATTTCGGAGCAATTGATTGTAGTTAAACAGAAGACCGATTATTTCACAACAATGGGTCTGCGGACCTCAGTTTGTGAGAACCACTAACCACATACTATCCTTCCCTAATAATGAAATACGAAACAAACAAGTGTCATAATAGTTGAACTAACCTGCTCTGACTTTCTCCGTGGAACCTGGAAAGTTTTGCTGAATTCCATGCAAACCCCTGCTCAACAGCCCAAAACAGTAATACCCGATGCAGTTTATCCAATCAAATTTTATTTAACTTTTCAGATTTTATTGAGCGAGTACAAGTTTTACGAATTCATTTTGTAGAGATATACTATTTGCCCTTATTTCCTTGAAGATTCATTGTTTGGTGTCCGTGTTATAGATATTGCGTTGGTTCAGTTTTGTCTATTCATACCGAAAGATATGGGAATGTGCAGCCACTGGTATGTGAGCGACAAATTTATTATATGATAGACCTTAATTTTAGGAAAAGTTTTGGCAATAGTGATGGAGGTAGGAATCCAGCGTGTGGCGGCATCCATACGTTTCTGTTATCCTGGAAACCGCATAAGATTCGATTGGGATTTTTATCTTCTGCCGTACTCAAGAACCCATAATGCATCAAGAACCCGTAATGGTACTTTTATTACATAAAACGTCATCGCCTGGTCGGATGGCTGTTTGTTTTTCTTATATATGTACGATACAATATTGGTTTACGGTTCATCGACTACGCGACGAGGAGCTAAAAATAAAAAGAATGAAACATAGAACCGTGTTCGAACTGCGTAGAATTTTATTTAAGCGATGTTGTAAAATTCATATGTAAAAAAACAAAGTCGACTTTATATGAATAGTAAGCGTCGAAAATTCTGGAGAAATATAAAAATCAAATTTCCCCAAAAAAAAAAAAATTTGTGCTTTAGTCAAACTATCATTACTCATTTTACATATATATATATATTGAATAATTTACAAAAATTTGTCAGGGAAATTTTTAGGATGTGGCTGAACCCAATGACCAAATGTGGCCTTGTTCTTTCGTCTACGAAAATAAAATCAGTCTATTATTGGAGTATGAGAAATGACTATTCACAAAGTGCAAAATATGTGTAATTTATCGACCTAAGATATTCAATGCTAAAAATACGGTTTCATTCAGTGGTCAGTCTATAATCTAGATCAGGAGTGGACAAGGTTTTTGGACCAAGGGAACTAAATTGAAACTCGAGGACTGCGCGTGACCGCACACGAGGGGAAACAAAAAGGTGTGAAAAGCACGCCGTCGAATCGAATGAAAAAAAATGTAAAGTTTTGTTAAAATACAACTTGAACAGGCTACGACCATAACCTATCAAGCTTATTGCACCATACATATTTCAATAAAAACAACTATGTAGTACATGCGGAATTAGGTAAAAGCAAATTTTATGGCAGTATCTAGCGGGCCAAATTGAATCACCCAGCGGACTGGATTTGGTCCGCGGGCCGTAGTTTGCCCATGTTAGTTCTAAATGCTATATGTGCGCGAAGATACATATTAAAAGAGATGATTGTTTATAATACTATTACACTATAGTTTTGGAGTTTGTCACAAGCGTTATGGAAAAATCTGTAGTTTGGGATGAACTTTGTGCTGGTATTTGCGAAGGTACAATATCTATGTTTGCTGTATTTGTAGACGCTTTCAACATTTACTACCATAACTTTGTACACGTTTATCATATCTTTATATTACAATGGTTTTTGCATTAAAGCATGATTTTTAAATGAAAATTCCTTGCTTAAATTTAATTGGTCGCCAGTTCACTACCAATAGCCAAACAATTGTTATTCAAGAGACCATTCTA